CACCTTCTCTCTCTTCCCGTTACCACATCATCAAACTTGATCAATTTTAACTTCTAAATATGTCAAAACCACCCCTTCTTTTCATCTTCATGACTACTTCCCCAAACCAAAAGTGTTACTTCCTGCATGCATCACTGAAACAGACTCTTAACTGGTCTCTCTAACCCCCTTCAAACCAAATTCCACACTACAGCTAGAAGGATTAAAAAACAAAATAAAACAAACCCAATCCTACAGTGCCAGGCCCTGCTCTAAAACTTGCTACTGCTCTAAAGATAAACACAGAATCTAGCCCCAGTCTTGCCAGTCTTTCCTGTTGCACCTCACCACACTGATCTTTTAGTTTCTCAGCGCATTTACTTCCTGCTTCAGGGCCTTTGCACACATTGTTCCTTCATTTGAAGCACTGTGAGTTCTGCCCAAGACTGACTCATCCCAGACCTTCTAGTCTCAGGTTAAATATCAGCTCAACAATCATTAATAGATAATAAACCATTTAAGTAAAAGGCTGGGGGAGGGGAACTTTAAAACACATGGAGAAGGCTGAGAACACTTGACCACTGACAAAACTCTCTAAAAGATAGTCATTTGCATCATGTACTTCCTGATGTGAAGCAACAGGAAGCACCCAGAACCTCCTACCTCCTATGAAGTATTCTTAAAAAAAAAAACAACTAACCAAGCTTCTACATCCAACTACTAATTACCTGCTTGTAGGAAAAATGGAGGGTAAAGGAATAAATAATAACAAAAGCAAAATAATTAGCCAAACCCAGAATGTAGGAAATTATACAGGATCTCAGATGGCGGGGCAAAGGGGCAGGCCCGGAGCGGGGCAGATATGGTTAAGTGGGGAGACCATGATTGAGGCTTAAAAAAACATAAACAATACAGCATGTGGACCTTGTTCATTCAAGCCCTGATTCAAAGAAACCAACTGTAAATGCCATTTTTCTCTAAACAATCATAAAATTTTGAATTATGTACTAGGTAGTAAATATTAAGAAACTATTAATTGTAGTAAAAAGACACTGATAATTTTTTTAAATCCTGACCTGATAAGAAATACATCCTAACATATTTAAAGGTAAAATGATACATTTGTGATATGCCTTAAAAGATTTCATTAAACAATTGAGAAAAAATAGAAAAAATATTGAATTGAAACAACGGACTTTATTGAGTGGTACATACCAAACAGAAAGAAATCACAAAAATTCCAATTATCTATTGCATCTTGAAAAACTAGTACTCAGAAAATATTCCAGTTATGAAAAAGAAGGTACATTATTAACTGGTACTACTTTGGCTCTCTGGAAATGTTTCTTTCCAGCTAATAATAAACCTTAGAGATAAGTATAAAAAGCTGAAAAGAGGGGCACCTGGGTGGCTCAGTCAGTTAAGTGTCTGCCTTGGGCTCTGATCTGCAGGGTCCTGGGATCAAGCCCTGCATCTGGCTCCCTGCTCAATGGGGAGTCTGCTTCTCCCTCTGCCTCTCCTCCCCCCACCCTCGTGTTCTCTCTCACTCTACTCTCTCTTAAATAAACATTTTAAAAATCTTTTAAAAAGCTGAGAAGAACTTGTCTACTTTTAAATGAATGAGGAAAGAAAGTTCTTTCTGGTTTTCCTGCTTTCAAAAAAACTCTCCCTTTGGGACGCCTGGGTGGCTCAGTCGGTTGGGCATCTGCCTTTGGCTCAGGTCATGATCCCAGGGTCCTGGGATCGAGTCCCACTGGGGCTCCCCGCTCCGCGGGAGGCCTGCTTCTCCCTCTCCCTCTCCCCCTGCTTGTGTTCCCTCTCTCGGTGTGTCTTTCTCTGGGTCAAATAAATAAAAATCTTAAAAAAAAAAAACAAAACAAAGAGTTTATTTACAAAAAAAGGAATTCATTAAAAAAAAAAAAAAACACCTCTCCCTGGAACAAACTGATGGTTGCCAGAAGGGAAGAGGTGGAGGGACAGGGAAAATGGGTGAAGGGGAGTGGGAGATACAAGTTTCCAGTTAGGAAATGAGTAAGTCACAAGGATAAAAGGTGTAATACAGGGAATACAGCCAATGGCATTGTACTAGCGTGTGGTGACATAGTAGCTGCACTTGTGGTAAGCACAGCATAATGTATAGAGCTGTCAAATCACTACGTGTACACCTAAAATGAATGTGACATCGTGTGTTAATTGTATTTCAACTTAAAAAAATAATAAATAAAATAACCCAAAAGGACTCTTCTTTAAGAGATGTGTTTATTGACAGAGAAGCCATGGGACACCTGGGTGGCTCAGTCGGTTAAGCATCTGCCTTTGGTTCAGGTCATGATCTCAGGATCCTGGCATGAAGACCCATATCTGGCCACCTGCTCAGTGGGGAGTCAGCTTCTCCCTCTCCCTCTGCCCTTCCCTCTTGCTCTCTCTCTCTCAAATAAATAAAATCTTAAAAAAAAAGAAAAGAAAAGAAAGCCAATTCCACCACTTCATTCCACAGTACAGCAGAATTAGGGATATCCCAGAGCAGGCCAAACTACCCTGGTTTTTCAGTGCATTTGAAGAGTGAAGGACTATCGCACATGAGCCTGTAGAGGTGACTCAGGAGGCACTTCCATTTCCACACTCTCACCCCCCTTACTGGGTATGTGTGCAAGAGTTTATTCGATTGGTCTCCAACTTACTGTCTCCATTCCTGCTTGGTACTCTTCAAGTTTCCACTTCCACCACTCAATCCCCACCATGACGAATGATGAACTCAGTTTCTTCAATGTGTCCAGTCCTTTTATCACTTACCTCCCAGGTGTTTTTAGTACTGAGTTTTTCAAACTACAAGTTGTACCCTCGTGAGTCTTAACTTCTCCCCTCCATTAATGATATAGAACAGAATAGAAAATAAAAGTAAATAACAAAGGTAAGTTTTGTTTGGTGGAACCTGTTTCTGTTATTGAAAATAGCCAATACAACACAGTTAAGCACCTTTGTATCAGGCACTCTTTAAAGCAATAACTTTTTTTTTTTCAATAACTCATTCAATCCTTACAGAGATCCTATAAGGTAGATATATTATTGTCCTCATTTTCAAAGGGGAGACTGAGGCAGAGAAGAGGATAACTTGCTGGAAAGTATGGTCTTAGAGTCCAAGCACTCTGGCTGCAGAGCCAGAGTTAACCATTCCCCCTCCTATGCATACTGGGTCACAATATAAAACATTTCTCACTGGGGGTCATGGTTTAAAAAGTTTGAAATCCACTGCCTTTGGATTTCGCATAGTATCAGGCACCTGTCCTTCTTCCTCTTCTGTGATCTACTTTCTATTGAAAAGTCTTATTCTTTTACCTAGGTCAAAAGTCACTTCCTTGGTGACTTTTGACACCCCAAGGGAAGCCGATGACAACAGAGCCCCTCTATTACCACTTACTACATTATATTTTTTATTTGTGTCCTCTACTGGCCTGAAATCAGAAAGCAGTTTATTCATCTCTCAGTGATGATGAAAGACTGGTTTTTACCCTACACTTAGTCCAAGAGACTCCTACACCTCATCTTCAAATCTCTACCTCTGAAGACAACTGTGATTTTAAGACTAATTAAAAACTTCTTGTCAAAATTTAGAACTAATTCGTAATTCTTTAAAGCCCTAAGGACCTCTACTAAACACGGTCTGATTCTTTCAACTACATACTTGAAAATAATAAAAACTTAAAAAAAAAGAAAACTACTGTACCATTCAGATGTTTAGTTCTTACCAAATGTGTTACACACCTATACAGGCAAAGTGTGTAGCAAGAGTATGTTCCAGCAGTTTGCAAAACAACATGCCAGGAACAACCTAAAACTCCATCAGTGGGGAACTGGCGAACGAAACTGTTGTACAACCCTCTAAACCAATACTATGCAAGTGTTTAAAAGAAAGTATATGTATATTTGATGGAAAGCTGTCCCTGATATTATCTGAAAAACTTAAGGTGCATAACAATGCATACAAAATCATCCCACTGTTGTTTAAAAATGTGAGTACTGTAGGAAAAAGGAAGGATGTTATCAAGCAGTTAACAGTAGCTAGCCTGAGGAGTTAATGAACAGTTAAACTTTACACTTCTGTATTATGCGCATTTTTTTTAACTTGACACACACGTCTGGCTTTTTTTTTTTTTAAATATAAACTACAAAAATTTGTGATCCTGACCAATACTGTGTGAAACAAAATATTGTGAAATAAATACTTTAAAAATAAATTATCTTTTCGTGTCAGGAAGGTATGAGGAGGGAGGAGACAAAACCTAAACTGCGATGTAGGAACACTTAACACAGAAAGTACCAAGTACCTTTGACAGATACTTGTTCGGGGTGGAGGAGCTTCCTCACCAACACAGAGCTTTCCTGATGACACGAAAAAAGCAACAGCATGTTCTACGGGTGTCGCTTTAAAAGAGCGGTTTTCAAAATCCGGGAAGCACAAGAATCAGCGGGAAAGTGCGCTGTTTAAAATACAAATTCCCGAGCCCCATCTCCGGATGTTCTGCTTGGGCGGGCCTGGGTGTGGCCCCGAAATGAGCCCTCTCCCAACAAGCACTCAAGTTGTCTCTGACACAGATGGTGCGCAGCCCTGAAAGTTACTACCTTCAAATCTTGAGACACATCGATGTCATTCTTCCCCCCTCCCTCTCTGGCCACCTCTATCCTCCAAAGGGCCTCAGTAGGTTTCCAATGTTGCGTCCAGTTAAACATCGCCCACCGACCACTTCTACTCCAGGTGTAACCTGATGGCCGAACGGCTACAAGCACGTCACTCCACCTCCATTTTTACCTTCCGCGCGGCCTCAGCTCATAACCCTTCCCCCACCAGCCCTTCTTCCGCCCGGCGCGACCATCCCAACGCCGCCACCCATGCCTCAAGCTCCACCCGCCCGCTGCCCCTGATCCGAGGCCCGCCGAACTGGCCACACCACCGCCCGCTCCCCACTCTCCACCTCCTGTCCCCAGCCGCCGGGGACCCGGCCGCCGAAACCCAAGAGCCACACCTTAAGGCCGCTCCATGAGTCGCTCCCCCGGCGAGCCCGGGGGGGGGGGGAGGGGGCGTCAGTCACAGGCCCTAAGGCCTCAGCAGCATTTTGAAACGGCGAGTAGTGAGGGCGCAACTTCCGGCCTCCTGAACCCGTCTCGTACCAGAGCTTCCGGTGAGGCCCCCGGGAACCATAGAGGCCCCACTGGAGGGCTAGAGAGGTAGAAAGGCTGAGCTCTCCCTACCATAGACTAGGGCCCAGTCCAGAGAGAGAGTCGCAGGTCCTGGACGACTGAGTTTTGAGGTTCTAGAGAAATCGTTTTAGGAACTCACAGAGTCTGATGGTATTCACAGACGTGTCCTAGGAGATCAAAAATCGAGGAGGGGAGAAACCTAATAGCATAGTCAGAGGCAGCCTTTCGCTGTTTAAAAAAACGCCATTCCCACTGTTACTCAAAGTTAACTTACTCTTACTTCCCAGAGGTGGTGGCTGGAGAGGGCAAACAGCATGTTAGTGTTGTCGCTAATTGGGGGAGATAGGATTAAAATATACACGAATAACTCAAGATACGTGATAAATGCTGAAAGAGGTGCAAAGAACCGGGAGGTGGAGCTTCTTTGGATCCTACAACCTGATAAAATCACGTGCAACAAACCTCTCAGGTTGGCCGACTTCCACCTCTGCCGATGCCAAATGGTATTATCCCTCCCAAATACCTCATCTCATTTATTTCAGGATGATTCTAAATGTTAGAGGATTTTCTGAGCTGAAGTATGTTACTTTGCAATTTCCATTGGTTTCAGTTATACACTTGGTAGAACAGAGTAAGGAGTCATTCTTTATAACATGAATACTATTCAGTCATTTGAAGACAGTTCCCATGTTCCATCCCTAACCCTGTCCCTTGTTTTTCTACAAGCTAAAAATCCCCTCACAGCCTTCAACTATTTCTTATTTGACATGGCTTCAAGCCACCCTGGTCACCATGTTCTGAACAAGTACTTGTTTGTCCTGTTTAAAATGTGGTTCCCAGGACTGGGTACAGACTCAGGTTAAATAAAATGGGGCAATGACCTCCCTAAATTTACACATTGCACCTTGCTCTATTTCTGGCATAACCTTCCGCATAGCTGGGAGATCCACATTTCTGTAAATGAGCCGAAGAATTAATTCCTTTTTCACAGTTGTTCTGAAAGAGCTTGAAGTCAGCAACCACCTCTCTCAAAAAATAAAGGGGAGGGGCTTTTTTAGATGAACCACTCTCAACTGTTTCTCCTCTTTTTTGTGCAATTAATTTTAGTGTTGTTTTTTTTAATTCCCAAACAGTAATTTGTATCTTTTAAATAATATCCAGTTAGTTTAGATCTCTTCCTCCTGTCTCCTGGACTCTTGGAATTATGATCCTGTCCGGCAACTCATTTTGTTTAAGATCAACAAACATTTATTGAACACCTACTGTGTGCCAAGCACCAACCTAGAAGATTCCAAAGCAAGTAACGCCTGGAATCTGCCTAGTGGAGGAGTCAGACAGTCCAGGTAAAGAGAATGTGGTAAGTGTGGTTAACCTTGCCTGGAAGGTCGAGAGAGATTAGCTCTTTCACTTTTGCATTTTGCAAAATTTTGATCAACATATTTAATTTGTCTTTATCAAAAGTCTTGATAAATATGCTGAATAGGACATGGTTAAGAATAGAGCTTTTCCCCTCATGGTTGACACTGATTCATGATTAATCATTCATCTTTAAATGTTCTTAAACCACTAATGATCCTACCTAATAGTGGTCAATATCTGGCAACATTTCGCTATCCTTTCCTAAGGAGTTCAATGACTTGTTCTAATGAAAATAAACCATAACTAGAGCATTTCTTCTCCTCGTCAAGTAAACTTACCAAAAAGAAAATGAAATTAGCTTAAAAAGCTCATAACTGACTCAGTGATCACCACTTCCTTCTCTAAGAACTATGCTCAAAAACCGTTTATTTAATAAAGGGACAGGAAATGTGGGTTTAGTCTAGTTATTTCTAGAAACCAGAAAGTTACACAGTTCTTCAGTTTCACAGTCTGTAAATAAAATGGCTAAACCAGATGATTTTTCTAGAGCCCGTCGGAGTTCTAAGGGAACTATAAGTCAATGTTACTGATCTATAGTCTTTCTTAAAAAATTATAATGAACTACTTCACACATACAACAAAGTATAAAGAAGAATATAATCTCCTTTTCCCCACCACTCTTCCTAAAGAACAATACTTTACCTTTTACAAAAAAGTTTCCTATAGTCCATTCTCCTAAGGCATCTCCCTCCTTCATCTCCAAAAGGAACTATTCTGAATTTGGTATTTACCCCTGCCATGCACTTCTTTAGACTTTTAGGATTTATATATGTATATATTCCTTAAAAATATTTTATGCTTTTAAAATGTTTATAAATGGCATCAAACTGTATGTATTCTACTACAACTTGCATTTTTGCTGATCACTGTGAAGTTTCACAATGTTAAATCATGTATAGTTGATTTTCGGTATTATTTAGTAATGTTGTATAGTAATATATTGAATTGTGTAATTAATTGTTATATAGTAATTGTGATTTTTTTTATATTTTATTAATTTATTTGACAGAGAGAGACACAGCTAGAGAGGGAATACAAGCAGGGGGAGTGGGAGAGGGAGAAGCAGGCTTCCCGCAGAGCAGGGAGCCCGATGCGGGGCTCAATGCAGGGCTCGATGCAGGGCTCAATGCAGGGCTCGATGCAGGGCTCGATGCAGGGCTTGATCCCAGGACTCTGGGATCATGATCTGAGCCGAAGGCAGACACTTAACAACTGAGCCACCCAGGCGCCCCAGTAATTGTGATTTTCTAGGGCTACCATCACAAAATACCACAGACGGGGTGAGTTAAACAATAGAAATCTGTTTTCTCACAGTTCTGTGTGCTAGAAGTATAAGATCAAGGTGTTGGCAAATTTGGTTTCTTCTGATACCTCTCCTTGGCTTGTTGTACGTGGCTTGCCTTCTTGTTTTGTCCTCAACCCTTGGTCTGTAAATTGTCTGCGTCCTAATCTTTTCTTATAAGGACAACAGCCATAATGGATCAGGGCCCACCCATAGGACTTCATTTTACCTTTATCACCCCTGTAAAAGGCCTGTCTCCAAATAGAGTCACATTCCGAGGTGCTAAGGGGTTAGGTCTTCAACACAGTAATCTGGAGGTGGGGGGACACAATTCAGTGTATAACAGTAATGAATGCACCACAATTTTTTATTCATCTCCTCCTTTAATAAATAGGTGTTTCCAATTGTTCACTGTTACAAACAATGCTGCCATCGACATTCTTGTACTTGTGCACTCTAGGGAGTAGAATTATTGGGTCACAAACACATTGTCAATGCTACCAGATCATAACACAGTGCTCTCCAAAGTGGTTGTAGATGTATACACTCCTGATGGGTGTGTATAAGATTCTATTGCTCACATTATCGACAAAAGCCAAACTATGGAAAGAGCCCAAATGTCCAATTACTGATGAATGGATAAAGAAGATGTGATACACACACAAGAGAATATTATTCAGCCATCAAAAAAAAAAAAAAAATGAGGGGCGCCTGGGTGGCTCAGTCGTTAAGCGTCGCCTTCAGCTCAGGTCATGATCCCAGGGTCCTGGGTTCGGGCTCCCTGCTCGGCGGGAGGCCTGTTTCTCCCTCTTCCACTCCCACTGCTTGTGTTCCCTCTCTCGCTGTCTCTCTCTCTGTCAAATAAATAAATAAAATCTTTTAAAAAAAATGAAATCTTTCCATTTGCAAAGAAGTGGATGAAGCTACAGTATATTATTGCTAAGTGAATTAAGTCAGTCAGAGAAAGACAAATACCATATGATCTCACTCATATGTGGAATTTAAGAAAGAAAACAGATGAACATATGGGAAGGGGGAAAAAGAAAAAAAGGAGAGAGGGAAACAGGCCGAAAGAGACTCTTAACGATAGAGAACAAACCGAGGGTTGATGGAGGGAAGTGGGTGAGGAGTGGGCTAGATGGTGATGAGCCCTGGGTGTTGTATCTAAGTGATGGACCACTGAATTCTACTCCTGAAACCAATATTACACTAGATGTTAACTAACAAAATTTAAATTAAAAAATAAACTAGAAGTGCCGCAATTTAAAAAAAAAGATTCTGTTGATACACATCTTTGCCAATCCTTGGTATTGTCAGATTATTTTTTAAAAAATGTAATAGATGTGAGAATTTCTCATGGTGGCTTGATTTATATGGTGGCCCATGATTATTAGTAAGGTTGAACGTTTTTTCATATTTATTGACCATGGTTACTCACCTGTGAATTGCCTGCCCATATCTTTTGCCCATTTTTCTGTTGGTTTGTCTATTCCTTACTGATTTATATGAGTCCTCTGTGTAAACTGGATATAAATCCTTCTTGATTATATATATCACAAGTAAATCTTCAAATCTACAACTTGTTTTCATTTTTTAAATGTCTTTTGATAAACAGTTTTTTTAAATGAAGTTAGATTTATTAATTATTTTATGTTTCACTTCCTTTTTTTTATTTAGGAGATGCTTCCCTGTTTTGGGGTCATAAAGATACTCTCATATACTTTCTCCTAAAAGTTCTAAAGATTCACTTTTCACATTTAGTCCTTTAATTCATCCTCAATTGATTTTTGTGCATGTTATAACATGGAGATCCAATTTTATTTTTTCAATTTGAAAAATAAATGTCTGGCTCTATTACTGAATCTATAAACTGAATGTGAGCCTATCTATAGTCTCTTGAATTAATCTTTCCTTCCTATTTAACACAGTCATTGGAAGGTTTTGTAGAAGAATAATCATTTGAGTGGGACCTTAAAAAATGAATAGGATTTCAAGAGGCAGAAATGGGAGAAGTAATTTGAAGAAACATGGCACAAATAATGAGGAGAGGAAAGAGATGAGGAATTTAGAAGAGACAGTCTTAAAACGGAAAAGAATCTACTTTGATCAAAGTGTTGGTCACTGAGTAAAAGATTGGCACGGTATTGAATCCCACTGTCCAATATAATATCCACCAGCCACTTGTGGCTTGAAATGTGGCTAGTCCAAATTGAGATGTGCTCTAAGTGTAAAATACACCTCAGATTTCAAAGACTTAGT